TCCTGCTTGTTTTCAATAGTCCCTTTGTGTTTGTGCAGTTTTAGTTGCCCCTGAAAATGGCATTTGTTAAAGTATACCCTCCACGTGTGTGTGTGTATTCCTTCCACTTTCTTTAGCTTCCTCCTTCATCTGTATATTCTCTGCCTTCCCCCACACGTCAGTTTGTCATCCTTTTCTGGCATTTTCTTCCTAACTCCAAGCATCGCCTGTTGAATTTCTGCCTCCCACACGGCTGTTAAAGGCACAGAAAGCCTGCCAAAGAAAAGGCAGCAACCTACCTAGGTGTGCACTCTCTCTCAAATTGTCAACAGCCCTGGAGAAAACTGGCCCTTTAAATCAGGCTTAATGAGATGTTATTGTCCAGGCAATGTTATTTATCTCCGTGATGCAAGAAGCTTCCACTGCCGGTTTCCACACATAAGGATTCTATTAAGTGGGCAAGGGCATTTTTCTCCAGGCATGTTGGCAACCATACTCTCCCCATTGTCCCACCCTTTTTACTTCAGCCCTCTTCAAACCTTTTCTCCTAGGTTTCCTGCTTCTGACTGTACTGACCTCAGCTGCCTTACTTGCTTCCTATTCCATTCCATTCCCTTATCCCATCTAAACCTGGATTTGCAGCTTACTGTACATATTCTACATTTTTGGTATTTAGCCAACATGGATTGTGGGAAGTGCAAGATCTAGCCCACAGGTCCCACCTCTCTCTCGCTCTAGGCACACTCAGGGTAACATGTAAAGATCTGTGTGTGAATGTTCACTTGTAGGCTCAATATGTCCAGCAGGATCTCCAGTCAGACAGAGTCCACCTGCACACATTTGATAACTGCATAGGCTTTCACAAGTTATGGTGAACGTGGAGAGGGTTAGCTGGAGCAGATACGTGCAATCTTGCTTTCTCTTTCAACACAACCATTGTCTACCGACATAACATATATACAGTTTACCTCTAAGGATCAGAGCTGGTGATGACATTTCCCTCAGGCATCTCTCCTCCAACATTTTGCTTCATCCTGTTGCTCCCGTTTACAATTGTTCAAACGCGGCCTTGGGCCAAGTCAGTTTTGCTCTCTCTGCCTCGGTTTGCCATCCACAAATTGAAAATAAGGGTGTCCTGTCCTAGTCCCCAGTGCTATAATGAAGACTGTGTTGCTTAAATGTTGTCAGGCTGTGCATTCCAATTGGGGAGGGGGGAAAGACTAAACGAGTTAAACTTGCTGTGTAACAATAATCCTAAATGATAAGATCTGCCTTGTGCAATCTCCAGAATCTGTAAAGGATTCTGTGCTTCAGAAAAAGCCCGTGTTTCTATTTTCACACCCACGTGGGGATGAAATGTAGGCTAATGCTGGCTAGTAGCAGAGCAGCAGAAGCAAGGCAGGAGCCAAAAACCATCCGCAGGGAAAGCGAGTCACAGGAAACATGAGTCACACTCTCTATCCCATCCAGGTCGGCCTGAGAACTGGAGTCTTGTGGCATTTAGGAAAGGCAGGGCAACCCCCAAGGCCCAGCTTCAGTTGTGTGTGTGTGGGGGGGGGGGCTTCATAATGGGACTACCTGGAACTTGAAGCCAGGGCCCATGAGAAAATTTTGAGAAATACTGGTTGTCCCACGGTTATGGGAGGTCACATCTTTGGCCCTAAACACCTGCACATAAAGGGTTTCTGCTGCCAGAGCAGTTTTATGGTTCCTGGCATGCTAACTAGTAACCATAACAACCCAGCGCAATACAGCTAAACATGCAGGCTGATTTAAAACAATGTCTGACTGCTGTTTTTCAGATGACGTAATGGACAGGCAAAATTAACACAAGAGCACTGTTCTGATGGTGACAGCGTGTGTGTATAGGCATGAATTTTTCAGCAATCTGTTCAGTTCACTTCTGGAAAAACTACTGTGAAAAGCCAGCACGCAGCCCTAGAATACGTAAATCAGATCGCTGTTGACTGCCTCCTCAGTCTCATCTGCCCTGCATAACCACAGATGGGAGCCCTACATAGTTTGGAACTGGTGTAAATAATTTTCAACATTCTTCCCAACACTCTGCACCTAGAATTCAGCCTCAACGGCTGTATTTTTCAGAATAACGGAGCACAAGGATGGACTACTGCAAGGTGTCCAATCTGGAGCTGTCCTTGGTGACTTTTCACAGCTTGATTTTTTTATCACAGAACAAGAGCGCACCAGATTTCTATCCCAGTCACCAATTCATCATTTACTGTATGCATAGAATTTTCACTTTGCGTTTCAATCGGGAAGGAAACCACACTGAAAAAGGCTTACGTAAAATACAATTAAAATCTCCAAGCAATTTAAATAAAACATGCAACTGAAGCCAATGTAAAGGTCCCCTTGCTCGAAAGCCAGTCGAATCCGACTCTAGGGTTGCGGTGCTCATCTCTGTTCCAAAGCCGAAGAGCCAGCGCTGTCCAAACCACTTGAGCCATCGCAGCCAATGTAATTCCTCCCATTTTAAGAAAAGGTCATTCTTTCCCAGTCCACACACCTTTATAGAAAGGACCCATTCTTTACACTGAAAAACATACGCACACCCTTGCAATGCACTCCACTGCGCAGTAAACATCTTACCATCTTTGAAATAACCACCATGTACTGCAAGCCCACTCTCTGGCCACCCCCATGCAAACATTTACAACTTTGGAGGCCTAGCTTAGGATCTGGGAGACTCAAGTTCAAATCCACACAGCGCTGTGTTCATCCGTGACAGTGTCCAATTCTTAATCTACCTCACAAGGTTCTTGTCATGATTAATTGCATCTGTACATGCGTTAGGATGCTCATGCTTGCTTCTTTCAGCCAGTGGCTCGCCTGTTCCAAGGGAGGCAGTTTCCAGCTGGAGTTTTCTTCCTCCTGTACATAAAAAAAAGCTGCACCCTTTCACTCATTTCTTGCAAAATGCAGCTCCCAAGCTTTGTTGCTTCCGCTACAGAACTGATTTCTTCCCTGAGCCAAAGTCTTTCTCCTGTACCAGGAGATGGTTCTTTGTCAGTTTGAGACTCTATCTTGACGAGCCTAAGTTTGGTAACAAACAGACTTGGCCTTTATTCAGACCCGTCGGAAACACATGCAAACCTGGGCACTGCTAACAAAAGGAATGCATCTGGCATCAGAGCAGCTAGCTGCCAATCCTCAGTAGACCAGGCAGCCCTTGCAGCCATCATTCATGCTTTTAGGCAGGGCTCAATATGCCCCGTTTTCAGGGCTGCCACCTGACCCATCCACAATATACATTAAAAATAAGTTCTTGGGGGCTCTGTGATGCTAGGGACTGGCCATGTGCAGATAAAGAAGCAGAGGGCAATGCAAGTAAAGGATGGGTCAGGTCTCAGTGGCTGTTGAGTTCTACAGAACAAAAAGAGGTGAAATTGTTTAGACCAGACTCTGGAGACACCAGAGGCAGGTTTATACCTGGCCCCATCGACGTCTTCAAGTGCATACCTTCCCTTCACATCAGTGAATTGCCAGTCCAAGGACATTAACTCCTATGGAGCAAAGTAAACAGCTCCCATTGGGACACATGGTCACAGTGAAGGCAAAACAGTGTGATGTTTATATGCATGTGTAATCCTTCTTCCACCTGCCACCACAACTCTCTCCTTCAAGCTGCATTCCTCCCCCACCCCCACCAGGGATCCCAACACTGCCTAAACAAATGCCACATTTGGAGAGGGGTTGCCTGGGGAGGGTAGATATTGGGGAGGAAGCGATGTCACTTACAGGTGGTGTTCTAGGCTGTCTTCCATAGTCTCTATGGTCTTTACCACACAGGGGAAATTCCTAGAATATCCCTACATGAAGACCATTTTTTTCACCTGCTCATCAGTTTCTCAGGGGCAGAGAATTGGGGCTGGTAAATCGTAGCTCTGGGTAGGTAAGTCAGAGCCCCCCCCCCCACGGTTTCTTTTGCAAAGACACCAAGGTTGCGGAGGGCAAGGCTCTGCTTTTTGCATTGAAATAAATAAATAAATAAATAAAATGCAGGTCACGGTCATATCCCCTGCTTCTTTCTTTCTTACTAAACTTTGCTGCCAAATTTTGCAAAAACTCAAGTATCTAAACAAAACATAAATTATTTATGTTAAAGTAAGCACGTCTGTGTTCACTTAATGGAAGTGCAACATACATTTCTGAGTGCAACAGCTGAGTTCTCTTGACCCAGGATTTGGAAAGGAGGCTGCCTGGTATACCGCGCAAATGGGACTCAGTTTCCCTGCTCCTGGTGAATCTGGACTATATTGCATCTGAACAGAATCAGATGTGGCAAGACATCTTTACAGACCTGAAAGCCCACCACAAAAGGCAGTCACGCATAAAGCTCAAATCGTTTCTGTTGAAATCAGTGGCCTTCCCCACTTCAGAGTGCAAGTGACAGATTCCAATTTTTTAAAAAAACCTTTGTTAATAGAAAGCTACAACCGTAGTAGAAAAGACTATCTTCCCTTTCTTGCTCTGCTGGCTTTTATAGTTGCAGGATTTTTTTTTTTTTAATGAGAGTATTCCAAAAAGCGATCTTCCCATCTGCTGTCTGAAGCACTTGAACACCTCAGGGTTTGGCCCGGCTCATCCCGCTGTATATGTAAACCAGGTCTTGTAAACGGGGCTCCTCATCAGCCCTGTGCATTGCTGCATCTAAGGGGTGGGAAAATTGCTTCCTGATTCATAAACAGCCTGGCCAACCAACACAGTGCAAATTCTGTTTCTGCTGTAAACTAAAAGAACCAAAAGCCTGCTCTCAAGAGACAGCTGTACACAAGTTCTCGACAGCTGAGAATATGCTTCCCACAGTGACTCAACACTGAAATTATGCCTTTATGTATGTAGCCTGACAAAACCTAAACGTGTAGCACAAATAAACGACTGATCAAGAAAGCGAGGAAGAGGGCTGCTTCTGGACTCATAACACAAAAACCAGGATGTGCCTATCACAAATCTCCAGAATTCAGCATCCTGAAATCTTAGCTTTTCTCTAGGTTGCCGGGGTGGGTGGGTAGTGGGAGTGTGCTTCTTGGGACCGTAGGAAGACTGTTGCTAGTGTGTTGTGAAGTGACTTGCAGGTTAGGTTTCAGTGCTCATAATGCCTTCCTTCTGAGTAGCAGAATGAGAATAAATTTTGCAAAACAATGAGTTCGATTTGCATGAGTGACTCAGATCACAGGACGTGAGGTTGTCCTGGTGCAAAAAAACTGGATGTGCGCAGTAGACTATACACAGCCCTGGTCTGAGACAGGAGACAGGGTTACAGGTGGTGCTCATTCCAGTTCCCCCAAAATGAGGGAGAGATATCTGAGATGGCTTTTCTTGGAACCCCTCGGTGAAAAAGGGGGGCTGACGTGCAAGGATGGGGAATGGGCTCAAACAACAGCCTTTTACCCAGAGTGACGTTTGATTGCGTGCAGCATCGTCACATCCCAGGCGGAGAAAGGCCTCCTAGCAGAGCAGAACTACCATGTTTGAGGCTCAGGATGGCTCGCTCAGCACAGCCTGTCTGGGGAGCTTTGTGCTTCCCCCCCAAATCGAGGCCACGTGCGATCCCTGTCGGGGTCCCTGGAGCAGCTCGGACACTTAATTCGTAAGCGTGGAGGCTACAGCTCCTTGCTGAACACCTGCTGGACAGTGTAGCCCAACCACTGGCGCCCACTGCTCACACTGTAGCCACTGCTTTCAAAGAGCCCAATGGCCGCCTTGGTGACGACTGAGACCTGGGCCACCAGGCATTTGAAGCCCTGAGCACGAGCCTGAGCTTCTAAGAACCGGAGGAGGCGGCGGCCCACGCCAGAGCGCCGGTACCAGCGATTGACAGCTAAGCGTTTGAGCTCCGCCGTGTGGGGCTCCCCGTCCCGGGGTTCCAGAGCCACACAGCCACAGATGTCGTCCTCGTCATACACAGCCACCCAGAGCCCACGCCGACCAGCATTGTAGTAGGCATAGAGTTGCCTCAGGTCTGGCGAGCGCCACAGCAGGAGTTTCAGAGCCACGACCGTGAGCAGCACGGGCACCACGAGCGCCACCACGAAAGAGTTCAGGAAGAAGCGCAGGCCGCTGCTCCCCACGGCCATCAAGAGCAGCGCCAATGGCCGTGTCAGCACATACAAGATCAGACGGTTGTCCGTGTCCTTGAATCCGTCCTGGTGGGAGGATAAACACAAAGAAAGGCAGGTGAAGTAAGGTTTGTGTAAGGTGTATTTTTTTTGGGGGGGGGGGATCAATAAGATCACACCCCATCCTGAGGCAGGCCATTCTATACTCAAGCTACTGCCAAACATGTTTGTTTTGCCTTCCTGAAGGCTTTCAAAGAAGATTCCATAATGCCTTAGAATCACAGAATCATAGAGTTGGAAGGGACCTCCAGGGTCATGTAGTCCAATCCTCTGCACGATGCAGGGAATTCAAATACCTTCCCCTCACCCCCAATGACCGCTGTTTCATGACCAGAAGATGGCAAAAAAAAAAAACACCCTCCAGAATCTCCAGCCAAATTGGCCTGGAGAAAAATTGCTTCCTGACCTCAAAGTGGTGATCAGCATTTCACCTGGGCGTGTAAGAAGGGCCAAAAGAACTAAGCACTGATGCAGCCCTTCCTGCCCTCCCTCCTTGTGTACAGCCAAGGAAAAAAAAATAGAGAGATAAACAGCCCTGAACTTCTAGGGCCAAACTGAAAACCATTTCGATAAAAGGACCTCATTCTTTGGGTTTCATATACCTTCTTCCTTTAGCATTTCTCCCTATTTCTTCTAGACCCTTGAATATCCCTGGAGCTCGGCTTCAAATCCTTTCCTATTTGTAAGATCTGTAACATTTTTTTGAAGCTGTGGTGCCCAGAACCATTTCTCTTCATGTTAGCTTACAGGTGACGAGGAGACTGGTAGTATTTCAAGATATCCTTTGATTAAAGCAGCTTAAAAAAATCTTTAATCATCAGGCCTGTAATTGGTTCATTTATACATTAACTAAATCTCCCTATTTACCAAGCCATCATTAAAACTGCCTTGTAGAGGAGACCGAAGAAATGTTTTCCTCATTAGGCTGTACCCATCACTATGTAATTCAAGAAGAAGAGGAGATTGGATTTATACCCTGCCCTTCACTACCCAAAGGAGTCTCAGAGTGACTTACAAACTCCTTTCCCTTCCCTTCCCCACAACAGACACCCTGTGAGGTAGGTGGGGCTGAGAGAACTCTGACAGAAACTGCTCTTTTTCAAGAACAGCTGTGCCAGAACTATGGCTTGCCCAAGGTCATCCAGCAAGTGCAAGTGGAGGAGTGGGGAATCAAGCCCAGTTCTCCCAGATTAGAGTCTGCACACTGAACCACTACACCAAACTGGCTCCTTTCAAAAGAAAGGCTAGCCTTCATTTTCATTTTGTCCTTTTGGTACTAAAGTGCAAGGACCAAAATGGTTTTGCAGACCTAATCCCCCACCAGTTATAACCCCTCCCTGCTGAGCTGAAGAAGCGTTCTAGTAGAATTTTAAAATACCATATTTGTGCCCCACCGTCTGAAGGGAACTGTCCACACAGAGCTGCCCACAAAAACGCCCAACGCAATTGCTACAGAACCCCTATGGATTCCAGATGTCTGCATCCTACAACCCCTCCCACTGACCATTTGTGTGGGGACAGATTTTGCTGTTGCCCTTCATGAACTAGATGCACACAGAACTCTTTGCAGCTGTGCAAAGAATATCACTTAGGATACACGCAAAGTCTTTCGGGGAGCCTTGTTCCTACTGATCTTCTTATTAAAGCTTTTCAGATGATATTCTCCGACAAACTTCTTTATTAGGATTGCTAACTACTAGGAGGACAAAACAGCCCGGCCTGCTCTTTGTGTCTTTAGTGACAGTTTAATGTGCGGAGATCAGGAAGTGGATCATTTTGCAGCATGGAGTTAAAACATTATTCCCCGTTATCATCTGGGCATCAGGTAGGCTTGTCAGTTCTGGCTTTAGAAATTCCTAGAGATTTGGGAGCAGTTGCCTGTAGAGGGTGGAATCCGGGGAAGGGAAGGAACTGTCATTTCCTCCAGGAGAGCTGAACTTTGTCGCCTGGAAAATCAGTAATACTGTTGGGGAAACTCCAGAACTCAACTGGAGGTTGGTAGCCCTACCTTCAGGCCTGTTAAAGGCTTGGCTACTGAGACCACTTAAAAAGTTGACAACTTGATCCAGAAACCAGTAGGGGAAGGAGATATACCTCGGAGAGTCTTACACGTGGGATCTTTGCCCTAGCTTGGATAATGCAGGGAAGTTGGTTACCCTCCCTTAATTCCCCACTGTGTCATGGTGCTAGGGTGCACCTCTTGGGTTTGCCCTGGATTTTTACATCCTTTCTCATACCTGCTTTACTCCAGTCTTTTCAGAAAGGGAGCAGCAGTGTCAGGGTAGCTGCCGTGTGGACAGAAAAGCACAGGACTTTTCCTGGTCTTACCCATAACATCACCAGGAAAGTACAGCTGTTTCCTGGTCTCACCCATAACAGCATCACTGTCTATGTCCCAGCTCCTTGTGACTGCTGTTTCCCTCCTCGTACTAAAGAGCTTGAAAATAAAACAAAATGGGAATTGCTAAATCATTAGTGTTAATAACTCAGGGCTCTTTTTGTAGAAAAAGCCCAGCAGGAACTCATTAGCATAATAGGCCACACCCAACAGCAGAAACACATTAGCATATTAGGTCACACCCCTGACAGCACAGCTCATTAGCACATTAGGCCGCACCCCCATGTTACAAGAAGTGTGGTCATCCAGCCACACCCACCTTTTGCTTCTTATTCTGTTTACCTTGTTTGTTGTCAAAACCCAGGGCTTTTTTTGTAGCAGGAACTCCTTTGCATGTTAGGCCACACACCCCTAATGTAGCCAATCCTAATGAGTTTCTGCAGTTGGGTGTGGCCTATTATGCTAATGAGCTCCTGCTGGGCGTGGCCAACTCAGCAGCCAGCCAGAACTCCATTCCTGTGAGTTCCTGCCCAAAAATAGCCCTGAGCGTTATAATGATTTATCACAACAATGGACAATTCCCCAAATGTCATCTTTTTTTAAAAGGGAAGTCTCTCTAGTCCAAGGATCCCCAACATGGTGCCTGTGGGCACCGTGGTGTTTGCCGACACCTTTTCTGAAACCAACCAAGTTTTTTGAGGAACTGGGCGGAGCCAGGTGAAGCTTTTGCTCAGCAAGGCTTCCGATTGACTGTGCAGATTTTTTTTTAAAAAAATGCTTTGGCAGCAGCTGCCATCACAACACAAGGATCTGTACTGTATTACTAAAGTTGAGTTGAGTGGTAATCAGTGTTCCCTCTAAGCTGAGTCAGTGTGAGCTAGCTCACAGTTTTTGAGCCTCCAGCTCACACATTTTTGTCTCAGCTCAGGAAGGGATGGCTCCAGAGCAAACTAGTTTATGCAGTGGCCAAATCACTCGCTCCCGACTTTAATGCCAGCGGCTCACGAAGTAGAATTTTTGCTCACCAGACTCCACAGCTTAGAGGGAACTTTGGCTGGTAATCCTCTCTTGTGTCTCGCTCCGCCGCCTACGGCAGCTATTTTTTGGCAGCCATTTTGTTGTTGCACCCACAATTCCAAACGTGCCCTCTGGCTCAAAAAGGATGGGACCAATGCTCCCTCTAAGCTGTGGAGTTCTTATGAGCAAAACGTCTACTTTGTGAGCCGCTGGCATTAAAGTTGTGAGCGAGCGATTTGACTACTGCATAAATTAGCTTGCTCTGGAGCCCTCCTTCCTGAGCGAAGACAAAAATGTGTGAGCCGCAGGCTAAAAAACTGTGAGCTAGCTCGCACTAACTCGGCTTAGAGGGAACACTGGATGGGACCCCTGCTCTAGTCCTTTTCACTGCAGAATTGTACAGCTTGCATTTCCCCCCCTTAAAACTCTGCAACAAAAAAAGGCTCAAGACTTTCCTTTTAAAAGCAAGAAAGCTGGGAACTTTAGAAGATAGTGATTTTAATCCTAGAGTGATCCAGTAGTGTGCATTTTTTAAAACCCTCTGGTGCCAGGGAGGAAATGGTAGCGGCAGGAGCCTTGGATCATGGAAAATGTGGGGAAATCTACCATGAGGGAGCCCCGTTGCTGGTGCTGAACTGGCAGCCATAGCAGCATAGGGGAAACCACAGCAAATTGTCTCCATGTGTTAAACCCTTTAATTGGCTTAAGAAAGAAGCTCCAAGGGATGGATCCCCGAGGCTGGGTGTTCTTTAGTACTCAGTCTCACCTTCAGAAGCTCCAAAACAATTGATGCTTCATCCTCTCTCATTTCCCTGATGGACAGCTGCTCAGGTTCCAGGGTAGGCATGGTAGTAATGGGTAAGAACAGCACCTGCAGGGAAGGAAAACTTGAGTATTTGCTGACTACAAAGCAGGACCAGCCCTGACCTCAACGAACAGGTCACATAACCCAAGTGAACCTTGGGTTGCCAACAATGGGTTGGGAAATTCCTGGAGATTGGGGGGGGGTGGAGCCTAGGAAGGGACCTCAGCGGAGTACAATGCCATACAGTCCACCCTCCAAAGCTGTCGTTTTCTCCAGGGGAACTGGTCTCTCTAGTCTGGGAGGTCACCTGTAATTCCCTGAGATCTCCCGGCTCCACCAGGCGATTGGCAGCCTTCGGTGAACCCAAAGCTTTGCAGAAAAATGCAACTGCTGAAACAACTTAATATTGGAAGAGTGTCTCCAAATCAAAGTGATGTCTGTATAATATCCTCCCCGCCCCGTTCCTGCAGAATATTGGGTTGCTGTAGCAACTCAAAATGGCACCCCCAGAGAGATGAAGGTAGAAGAAAGCAGAACCTGAGCAAGAAGGGATAGAAAGCAGAACCAGACGGCTGGAATTGGGGGACAAGCAGAGATGCAGGAAGGAAGTGAAATCAGCATAGGGAGCACTTGGGCAGGATGGGGGCGCCAGGGTGGCGGCAAAGAACTGGGATTTCCCGTCACTCACAAGACCCTGGATGTCGACCAATATTTTCAAAATGAACAACTGTACAGTTCTAACGCCATTTGCAACAGAGCAGTTTCTCAGAGTGTGGCTGGAGTCCAAGCAGTGAAAACAAGCTTCTTGCACGGCCTCTGGTGAATAGTTCATCCCACTTCAGGATACAAGAAATCTTCACAACACAGTGTGTGCCTGTAGTTGTTCCTGCACCATTTTTTGCTCTTCAGGCAAATCAAAGACAAAACAATTTAATTTTAGCCACCTTATCAAAGGACCTGTATCTAGGGTTGCCAGCCTGCAGGTAGGGCCTGGAGATCTTCTGCGCTTACAATTGATCTCCAGATAAGAGGTTGGACTCTATGGCAGTGTACCCCACGGAGGTCCATCCCCTCCCCAGGCTCCACCCCTGAGATCTCCAGGGATTCCCCCACCCAGAGCGGGCAACCCTGCCTGTATCATAAGTTTTGGGGGATGCTTACAGTAGCTATAACTGAACACGGTAGAGATTCCATCCCCATCCTTTAATATCAGCATAGTAAAGGTAAAGTTTCCCTTGCTTGAAAGCCAGTCAAATCCGACTCTAGGGTTGCGGTGCTCATCTCCGTTTCAAAGCCAAAGAGCCAGCGCTGTCCAAAGACGTTTCCGTAGTCATGTGGCTGGCATGACTAAACACCAAGGCACACGGAACGCTGTTACCTTCCCACCGAAGTGGCACCTATTTATCTACTTGCAGTTTCTTGCTTTCAAACTGCTAGGTTGGCAGGAGCTGGAGCTAGAGATGGGAGCTCACTCCATCATGCGGCACCCGGGTCTCGAACTGCTGAACTACTGACCTTCCACAGCCTGCAGTTGTGTCTTAACCACTTGAGCCACCGCAGCATAAGTACCATTAAAAAAAACCACCAGAAGGCATGGCATTTTAATGTCTGAAGATGCTGAATTTCCACTTTCTGTTCAGCTATTAGATACACAATAGTCCCACCATGACAGGAAAATGTTGGCAACAGTTCAAGCAACTGAGACACATGCAGTTTTTGTATATAGGTATGATTTAAACCTATTGTGCGTCTATTAAAGTTGGATTTTTTCAGTGCTCAGCAATCCACTGACAACCAGCTTCACTGAATAGCTTTGCACAAACCATCATTTAGGAGCTGTTCCCCAATCTGTAAAATACGAACAATTTTCTGCAGAGTTTTTGAAAAGGAATGAGAACCAGACTGCGGACTATGATTACTTTTATGCATATATTAGCTGAAGGGTGGCCATTTTGTCAACAGTTATTAATCCCCCATCTGGATTCCTTGCCCCTCCTCCCTGAACTCGGCAATAGCTGGGCAACGTACATTGTCACCTACTGGAAGAGTTAACAACAGTGTTCCCTCTAAGCTGAGTTAGTGGGAGCTAGCTCATAGTTTTTTAGCCTCCGGCTCACACATTTTTGTCTCAGCTCAGGAAGGAGGGCTCCAGAGCAAACTAATGTATGCAGCAGCCAAATCCCTCGCTCACAAATTTAATGCCAGGAGCTCACCAAGTAGAATTTTTGCTCACAAGACTCCACAGCTTAGAGGGAACATTGGTTAACGACCATAATTTTAACCTCTTGTAGGCAGGCTGTACCTACCCACTCACTTCCTATCGCGGGAAATAAACGCTACTTTGCAACAAACCCCCGTTTGTACTGAACTCGCCCCGGCGAGATAATAACTGATGCAGCCACACCCCTCAGCGAAACACAGAAATGCTCTACCTATCTCGCAACCTTGCACATTCTCATCCCGCCCCCATCCAGACAATAGACTCACCCGTAATGTTGACTATAGCCGCTTTCACCCCCGCGTAGACGGACATGGAATGTCCCAATACTTCTTAGGCACCCTTCCACTTCTACGGAAAATGGCTTCGCCCCCCCAAGGCCTCTTGTAGAGACCCTTCTCCCTTTCAGCCGCTTTACCCCCAATGCGCACGCGCTATTACTCCCCCTCTCGATCCCTCAATCTGCGCAGCCCTTAGCAACAGTTGCTAAGGGAGCAAAGGGAGGCCGCCAGAGCTACCCAGAAGCCTGGTTTGTAGTAATTGCACAGCAAACAAAACCCATTTTGCTCAAAATTGTTAGTTTTTATTAGGGCGAGGGGTAGCTCTTCAAGGAAGACATCCTTCTATAGGTGAAGCTTTCCCAAACATCCTAAACAAGAAGAGCAATGCTGGTGGGAAAAGCTTCAGGCTGATGACTGTTGAGGAGTGCTTAAAGGCACAAAGTCTGGTTCCATTTCTTGTGAAAGTGCTGTAGGACTGTAAGCCAATCATGCCAATGCAGTGCATCCAACTCATTACACAGGAGGAAACCGACAGTTGGCAATCAGCTGGGGAGGGGGGGATCCTGGCCTGTTTTTTTGTTCCTTGCTTCCAGGCTACCTGCTGGAAAAACAAGTCAGCTTTGAAAAACCAAAAATAGGTATCTCAAGTGAATGGATTTTTGCACTAATACTCTTCCTGGACACTCCAACACTCAAGCTTTAGGGATGTTAGCCTCCAGTTGGGACCTGGGGATCCCCTGGAATCACAACTCATTTCCAGACTACAGAAATCACTTCCCTGGAGAAAATGGATTCTTTTACAGGTGGATTCTGTGGCATGGTACCCCAGCCACCATCCTCCCCAGGCTCCATCCTCAAATCTGCAGGAGTTTCCCAACCTGGATATTCTGGCACCCCCCCTAGTAACCCTACAAGCTTCTTCTACCCCCAGACCCACCAAAACCCTCCAGACTCCATTGATTGTCTCAATCCTTAGACTCACAGGAGGGCTCTGTCTCTTGACCTAGAAGGCTGCACTCCCAAGCAAATATATTTTTAAAATTTTCAAGATAATGTAGTTCTGAACTGTGCTCTTCATCTTTAACCCGCTATTGCCCAGTAAACATTATTCCTGAATGCTTCCAAATCCAAGCCATGAATCAAAACCTAGACAATTAAAAATAGTGCTCCAAACAAGTCAAGTTTTATGTAGGCAAGTAAGAAACAAGTTCTCAATAACAAAACAAAAAAGCACCAATTTTTGAGCCACATTAGCAATTTTTAAAGAGAATCTATTTTTCCCTTTTCTTTGTTACTATTACCATGTCCCTTCAGATGTTTTCTTTTGGAAGCTCATCATATATAACTTGATCTCATAGATGGAGTATTTTGTGTTGCTTTTTGCCCCAAACAGAGAGATGCATTCCTGTTGGATTTTTTAAAAAATTGTGCAGGGGATCTTGGATTCTTTCTTTATGGAATAAACTGGCTGTCAAATGTCATTCTAAGTAGGTAGAAGGGGCTTCATAAAATCCCAGATGTCCATTTACCCAGAAAGTTTTTACCCCACCACGGTTTGTAAATCACCCTCTGTCCCCAGTTAGAATCACTGGTCTAGAATCACTGAAACAAGCAAACAAGATAAAAATACTGTGTTAGCTCATGGGGTCTGGCAGCTAGTAACCCCAGTTTAAGTTCCCACTCTCAGTTCTAAAAAAAGAAGGGACAAAAAAAGTTTACCAGGAGGCTGAATTACTGGATTATGTGCCAGATTCTTGGGGGGCAGGATGTAAATTAAAGGGATGCTCACAGTGTGTGACAGAGTACAGCACAACCTTATTATCAGTGTTTGGCCTTGGAACATATGAAGTCATAATAAAAACAAAATCCAGACCCATCTCTTTAAAAACTGTTAACATTTATTTTGGTCCGTCTTTCCAAGTACTTTACAAGCCTTGACCATCGTCACACTTGGGTGTGGCTTGCTCTGGAGAATTTTGGAAAGCTTTCGATTTACAAAGTGCACTCAAGAAATGTTTGGGGAAGGTCAGACCCACTTATCATGCAAAACGTTGGACCTCCCTGCCTCGGGAGACCTGAGCATTTTGGAAGTGTCATTCTGTAGGGGCGTTCTTTTGTTGTCTAGGGATTAACTTCCTTTTTTCCCCAAATTTTAGTGCACTTGTCCCTTTATTACAGCTATTTTACACAGCTATGTTCCAAGGTGCCTTGGTTACTGAATGTCCCATTTTGTTGATTGTATTCAATCACTAGGTTATCTGTCTTGAGACCCTGTGAGAAAGGCAGAATATAAATAACATCAATAAATAAATTAAAAAAAAGTGGGACATAGTGGTATGGTATAGCCCAATTTAATCGGATTTCGGAAGATAAGCAGGCTTCAGTACTTGGATAGGGGGCCACCAAGGAAGACTCTACAGAGGAAGGCAATGGCAAACCATCGCTGCTTCTCACTTGCCTTGAAAGCTCCTTGCTGGGGTCATCATAAGTCAGTTGCAACTTGATGGCACACACAAACATATGTTCAAGGTGCATTCTAAGTGGACATCCTATAAAATGTCCTAAAGTTTTTCTGAGACAGCCGGGAGTCCTACAAGAGATGGATATGGATTAAGTTCAAGCAGGCTTAACCTTCCAAGCAGACAAGCTCTTTGAAGTGCTACGAATATTCTGTATCTAAAGCACCACTGACAGATGTTTCTCCAAGATGTTTGAGGCTGCTTAGGAAAAAAGACCTACACCTTCAGACCCTTTTCTCTTGTCCCCTCAAGGCTTTTTATGACTCCCACCCCAAAGGATTCAGGCATCCTATGTTATTAAGAAAACACCGAGGAATGTTCTTGGATTCTTTCCTCAGTCTGGACAGAGTTTCTACAGTAAAAGACACTTGCAGTCAATGCTCCCTCTTAAGCTGTGGAGTTTTGTGAGCAAAAATTCTAATTTTGTGAGCTACGGGCATCAAAGTTGTGAGCCAGTGATTTGGCTGCTGCATAAATTAGTTTGCTCTGGAGCCATCCTTCCTGAGCTAAGAGAAAAATGAGTGAGACGGAGTCTAAAAAAACTGTGAGCTAGCTCACATTAACTCAGCTTAGAGGGAACACTGCTTGCAGTGTGAGTCCAGCCTACGCAAATATAATAAAACCCAAAAGTTGGGAAAAAGGAGGCAAAGGTTCTTCAAAGCAGTTTTTATTTTCTTTCTAGCCGAAAGAATCTATGACCCTCTTGCAGGTGTGTGTTAGCACCAGGAACTTGGGGTACAATCTGGAAGAAATGTAGTTCTGAGGAACAGGATATTGGAAAGGTCTGAGGGGGGGGGGGAACCTGTGAGGCTGAGATATGCAGTCTATGACCAGTCACAAGGTGGCCCCCAACAGCATCCCCCCCTATAATGTTGAGAAACAAAGGAAGACCTCAAAACCTGAACTTCCCTGATTTTTCTGTTACACCAAGCAGAGCCCACACTGCGTCATGAAGACTCTGATCCAAAGCTATAATGTGGAAGGGAGAGAAGCCGAGATTCCAGCTGCTACCCGGCAATCGTACTCCCTGTCTGAGACGGGGGAGAAAACCCAGGAGTCCTGGCTGCCATGGAGTTTAATTTTCTTTTAACCATCAGGCAGTGCAAACTTTTGGTTCTTGCTAGAACAAAATATTTCAAGGACAGAAAACAGGCGTGGACCTATGACAGAACAAAGGGCTAGACTAGCCAGCCCCTCTTCTCATGCAAGGGCATATACGTACTCGTGAAGGTGGTGGAGTGGTCACTGTGGCTGCAGGGTCAAAAGCAGCAGCAGCAGCCTACATGTGAGCAGGAAAGGGGGGTGGGGAGAGCCAAGGGTATGCTTTGGACCTGTGGGCACAGGTTTGCCGTCACACCAAGACATTGTCGTGGGACACCCAAGCCCACCTGTATAGGTGACAATGCCGCCCAGAAGTCTTGAAGTCACCCAGACTGGAGTCATCCTATCCGGCAACTACAGCAAGAACCGGCAAGTTTCCAGCTGAACCCACGGTGTGGGGGCCCACGTCGCATCTGTGCTCCCAGTGCAAATGACTGCAGGCCTGGGCCTTGCTCAACATCCTCACTCTGTTGTGGGGATGGCCGCTTTCAGAAGGTGTGGACCAGCTGCATGTTCGGGACCGCCTGCACAATCTGGATGGAGGGCAGGCCCTGCGAAGCCACTGGGCCCTGCAAAAGCTGCACCATCTGAGGGGTGCCGCCGCCGTCACCGGCTGGTTGCGCGCTCTCCGGGCTGTTCACCTGCAGCGTCGGCACGCTCTCCAGCACTTGGAGAGTCTGTTCCCCTTGAGCGCTGCGGATGATCAGCAGGTTCTGTCCAGTCCCGGAGCTGCCCTCAGTACCCTGCAGCTGGAGACCCGGGAGCTCTTGCACTGTCTGGATATTCTCCACCTCCTGCACGCATAGGCGGGTCTGCTCCCCCCCTGCGCTACTCAGCACCAACACATTCTGCACCCCCTCCTCAGTATGCAGTGTCTCAAAGTGCACGTCCTGCACCCCCTCCAGGCTCTCCACCTCACCGCCAGGCCCCAGCAGTTCATCCCCGGGAGAATTCTGCACCACAATCAAGTTCTGGCTTTCCTCCTCTGCACTGGATCCCTGCTGCAGGTCTACCCCAGAGAGCTCGTGGGAGCTGGACAGAGCAGATCCCGCCTCACTCATCTCCTGAGGTTGGCCCAGAGTCTGAAGCTGGATGCTGGCTATCTCCTCGGAAGGCTGGAGTTGCTGCTCTTCCTGGGAAGACACCAAGCCCTGGATCTGAATAGTGCCATCCAGCTGCTGGGAAGGAGAGAGCCCCTGGATTTCAACACCAGTCACAGACTGGTTTGAGGGGGACAGGTTTTGGATCTGCAGGGTCCCGGTCTGCTGAGCAGAGGGCAAGGCCTGCAGTTGAAGGGGGCCCATATGCCGGGAAGGCTTGAGGGTTTGGATCTGCAGGGTCCCCATCTGCTGGGGCGATGAGACAGCCTGAAACTGCACAGTGTTCACCTTCGGGGAAGGCTGAAGAGTTTGGAACTGCATCGTGCCTGTTGTTGGGCAACTGGACAGGTTCTGGATCTGTACCGTGCCCGTCGGCTGGGACGTGGGCAGACTTTGGATCTGGACAGTGTTCTGGGGGAGTGGCAGGCTTTGGATCTGCACGATGCCAGTCTGTTGAGAATGCGGGAGGGCTTGGATCTGGAAAGTACTAGTCTGCTGGGGAGCAGGCAGGGCCTGGATCTGCTGAGGCTGCTGCAGGGCTTGAATCTGGAGGGTGCCGGTTGCTGGCGACACAGCCGGCACGGCTTGGATCTGCACCGTGCCCATTTGCTGTTCAGGCAGACTCTGGAGGAAAATCACATTCTGCCCACCAGCCTGCAACCCCGAAGTTCTCTGGATCTGCACATTAGAGAGAGGCTGCATGCTGGGCCCAGTGGTGCTGGGCATCAAAATGATGTTCTGGCTGCCAGACACGGGTGGCGGTGGAGGTGGCAGCGGAACAGGCTTCTTGCTCTTGCCTTGCCGGAGTGGGACGGATTTGCTCGGGGCGATGGGGGCGCTTGGCAACAGGGTAAAGCTGGCCGGAGCAGCAGGTGCTGCGGGCATCACTTGGGGGCTGGGCAGCAGGATGAGTTTTGGGGGGGAACTTTGGGGTGGTGGCGGCTGCTGCTGCTGCACGCTTGGGATGAGCTGCAAGCCCTGCGCCGTCTGCACCAGCAGGAAAGTTTGTGTGTTCGAAGGGCCGGCTGGGGCTGGGCTGCTGCTCAACTCCACGTTCAGAGTGGCCTGCAGGTTGGGCACGATTTGCACCTCCTGAGTGGCAGCAGGGGAGGGAGCGGCCGGACGGCTGGGCGTCTCAGTGCTGTTGTGGGTGCGCAAGTGGCGCTGCAGGTACGAGGCCATGACGAAGGCCTTGGCACACACCGGACACTGGAAGGGACGCTCCCGCGAATGGGTCCGACGGTGCAAGGCCAGGTTGGAGGAGTGGGTGAAGGCCTTGCCACAGTCCCGGCAACGATAGGGTCTTTCACCGGTGTGCACTCTCTGGTGCTGCCGGAGGTTGGATGTCTGTGTGAATGCCTTGCCACAGGTCTGGCAGGCAAAGGGACGCTCCCCAGTATGCAGCTGCTGGTGCCGGCGGAGGCATGAGGTGTTCTTAAAGGCTTTCCCGCAGTCCTGGCAGGCGTACGGGCGTTCCCCCGTGTGCTGCCGTAAATGGTACTGGTAGTGAGAGGCCCACTTGAATGCCAGCCCACAAGTGGGGCAGGTGAAGGCACGCAGCCCTGTGTGAACCCGTTGGTGGATACGCAGCAAGGAAGAGCGCTTGAAGGCCTTCCCGCACTCCCCACAGGCATACGGACGTTCCCCTGTGTGGTCACGCAGGTGATAACGCAGCCCAGAGGAGCCCTTGAACGCCTTCCCGCATTCCCCGCAAACGTACGGCCGCTCGGGGGGTGGCGGCGTAGTCACTGTGGGGGCAGGTACTGGCTCAGCCTGTGCCGGGCACGTCACCTCCGCCTCTTCCAGCCGCTGCTCCGCTGGGGGGTGGGAACGCTGGTGGCCCAATAGGCTGGCCAGTGCCGGGAAAGAGCGCTCGCAGACTGCACAGGTGTAGGTGCGATCGGCCCGCCACGCTCTTGAAAGCCTTGCTGCACACCGAGCAAGTTAATGAGGGCACAGGGGGTGTTGTGGAGGTTGCCGCCTCCTCCTGCACAGGCGGCGGCGGCAGCGGTGGCGGCTCCGGCGGGGCCAGGTGCACTTCCTGGTGGGTCAGCAACTGCTCCTGGAGGGGGAAGGTGAGGTGACAGACGCTGCACCGGAACAGCATCTCTACAGTGGCAGTCGATTCCTCTAGGAAAAGCTGCGCCGGAGGGGCGACATCAGCGTGGGATTCCAAGTGCCGCTGCAGATAGGCGTCCGAGGCAAAGGCCTTGCCGCAGATCACACAGGTGTGGGCGGGGCGGGCAGCGTGTGCCGATCGGCAGTGTAGCGCCAGGTTAGAGGAGTGGGTAAAGGCCTTTCCGCAGTCCTGGCATCGGTAGGGTCTCTCGCCGGTGTGCACGCGCTGGTGCTGCCGCAGGTTGGTGGACTGCGTGAAGGCTTTGCCGCAGATGGGGCAGACATAAGGACGCTCGCCCGTATGGGTATGACGGTGCCGCCGTAGGCTAGAGGAGTTCTTAAAGGCCTTGTCGCATGCCGGGCAGGGGTAGGGGCGTTCCCCAGTGTGCTGGCGCAGGTGGTACTGGTAATGGGAGGACCACTTAAAGGCCAAGCCACACTGAGCGCACTTGAAGGCACGCAAGCCAGTGTGCACGCTCTGGTGGATCTGAAGCAAAGAGGAACGTTTGAATGCTTTGCCGCACTCGCCGCACTTGTAAGGCCGCTCGCCCGTGTGTCCACGCTGGTGGTAGAGTAACGCGGACGACCCCTTGAAGGCCTTGGGGCACTCGGAGCACTTATAAGGGCGCTCGCCCGTATGAGTCCTCTGGTGGTGGATGAGCCGGGAAGACCACTTGAACACCTTGCCGCATTCCAGACATTCATACTGGTGATCGCCACCGCTTCCGCCAGCACTGCCACCTGCCGGGGCCACCACTGGCACCGCTGCTGCCTGCATCTCTAGCTGCTGGGCTCCCACCATGGCACCGGACTTCACCTGCTGGAGACAGAGAGAATGTGAGGGTCAAACAAATTCGACCGGCTTTGTCCTTACACAGTTTCTTCAGCAGGTGAGATTTCAGGCCTGATTCTCTCACTTGTTATAGAGGTGGGGGGACTACTGCCTCATTTTCACATGAGGAGGAGTTTGAGCAAAATAGTTTATCAGCTCAAAAATTAATACGCCTCCCAAAAAGTTGTTTTTCACATCAGGGACATTTGCCGCAAATGCTTCTGTACCCAGAAATGAGGTGATAAAGATCCCTGTTTACAAACTTACTACCTTAAAAAAAAAAAAGTGGCAAATCAGTGTTCCTTGCATGGTGACATGTCACTCAGTGGCTTACAGCTGAATATCTGAATTGACCCCATTGGCGTTTGCACTGTAATTCAAGAGGATTCCAAATCTTCCTCTGTAGCAATGGCTGTTTTACATGCAGAAGGCACTGCTTGATGCTGGGATCATAGAGCATGCGTGAATCTGTAGATTTTGGGACAGAGAGAAGAAGTAGCAATTCAGCCATGAGTTTTTTGGATGGTCTTGACCAAGTCATGATCTCTCAGCTTCAGTTCCCTTTCTAGTTATGGGAATAATGGTGGCCAGTGCTGATGTGACACAAATAAAGTTCTGTAATCAGCAATAACAAACGTTATTTCGCCAAAATTTTCACCAAGCTGTATCACATTAAGGAAGTGGGGAAATACTATGCCTAGACTCTTCATCCTGTCACGGCGTAAGAACATGCAAGGTTGAAATGTCATGCCATGCTGCCAATTCCCAGCTACACTGCTGACCAGATATATATAATTTTGCTGATTCCCACAAACAAAGTGGCTCTAACATAGTTAGCACATCAAATCTGGGAAGCTAAGCTAAGCCCTGGTTAGTATTTAGGCGAAAGACCATCAGGGAATACCAGGGTTGCTACAAAGAGGCAGGCAACTGGCAAACCACCTCAGAATGGCTCTTGCCTTGAAAGCCCTACAGGGCCGCCATAGTTGGCTATGACTTGCTGGCAAGGAAAAAAGAGACACTCGTACATGTAAATAAGTAAAAAGCCCAGTAGTACCTTTAAAACTAACAAACTTTATTGCAGCATAAGCTTTCAAGAAACAGAACTCTGTCAGATGCATGGAGAATGTATATTGCTGGCTAATCGCTGTTACAATAAATTCATTCATTCATGGAGAATGTACATGTAGAGACTCACCCACAACCAGAGAATTGCCTTGCAACAGGTGGCACTGGACAGGCTCATGTGCCCTTGGCCAGATAGGCCACAAAGCATAGGAAGCTGAACAGAAGTGAACAGCTTGATTCCGTTGTTTTATTCCCCCCAGACTTCCAAGGAGTTCAGAGTGATGCACATGGACACAATTACCCTTTCCCTCCTCATACTAACGACCTTGTAAGGTAGGTTAGGCTGAGATTGAAAGGATCTCAGTGAACTTCAGAGCGGGGGGGGGAAAAAAAGCTTCCCGAGCCCAAGCAAATCTAACCACCATGCACACCGCCCTCGCCCTGCTTCCCTGCTGCATGGGCCCGGGGGGGGGGGGCGTGCTCCCTCTATGAGAAATTCTGGTGCACACTGCCCCTCTCCCCTGTCGTCGCCGCCGCAGTTGGGAAGATAGGATCCGATCTTAACCTGACCTCGGCAGAACTCAAGTCTCAGGACGTATGACGACAGTTTCCCTGAACATGTGCAGAGTTCACTGCTCTGACCACTTCCCTTCCACCCCTTGTCTTCATTGTGACCGCAGACATCAAACTTCCTTCCCTTTTATGAGCAACAACCGAGTATTTCTTTTTTTTTGTTTTTTTAAGTCTTCACTATCCCCCCCCCTTCAAGCCAGAAGCGGTCTGTTCTACCGGAGGGCAAAAAACCCGCCCGTAGCGGACATGCCCCTTTAAATGTGGCCCTTCCCCTTTAAGGAACCGAGCTTTACCGCCCCTCCCCCTTCTCTTTTTTAAGTCTTCACTATCCCCCTCCCCCCAGCCAGAAGCGGTCTGTTCTACCGGAGGGCAAAAAACCCGCCCGTAGCGGACATGCCCCTTTAAATGTGGCCCTTCCCCTTTAAGGAACCGAGCTTTACCGCCCCTCCCCCTTCTCCGCCGCTCGGCCCCGCGCGACGTCTCTTCCCCTCTCCCTTCCCCCTACCTCCCCTTGTCTCGTTCTCTCACCTGGCCTGAAGGCCCTTCCCGCCGCGTCGCCCCTGCAGGGGGGTTGATGGGAGGGGGCAGGGGGGGCTGTGGGGGGAGGGGCCCCCACTCTACCCTCCCAACGGCCGGCGGTGCGAGACACCCAATCTTTACCTTGCTCACACTAACAGCCTGGTCCAACCAGCGGACCCCACCCCTTTGCGCTTCTTCCATTGGTCACGCGGAGGCTCTCGGGAGGTGTAGTTTGTATCGCTCGCCGCCTTCGGGTCGCACCACGTGACTGTCTTCGGCTGTGCAGAGACCTGAGAGAGTGACTAAGAGCGAAACTGGACGGGAGGGAGGAATGTGTAGAAAGGTTTTCTTTTCCTGAGGTTGTTACTTTCATTTCGTGTGTCTGTGGTTGTTACATATTGAGGTTATCAGACTGTGAGGACGGTATGGGGGTTGTCACGGGTCGGTGGTTATGTCACTGACCGGGTGACGTCACAGCCGGAAAGCCTTGAAGCCCTTGAAATGTATGACGTCATTATTTTGTTTCCGATACCGCGAGGTGAAATAGAACAAGCCGCAGAAACGAAAGCAGATGGTCTATTTATTAAAAGTCTGACTTTCGGGGACCCTGCGATCAATGACCTTCAAAACATCCCCATCAACAGCCTTGCTCAAGTCTTGCACACTGAGGGTCGTGGCTTCTGTTATAGAGTCAATCCCATCTCATGGTGGGTCTTCCCCTTTGTGTGCTTCTGTCTTTTCCCAGCATTATTGTCTTTTCCATGACTTGTCTTTTTCATAACATGACAATGCTTCCGCCTTTCCCCAGCATTATTGTCTTTTCCATGACTCTTGTCTTTTTCATAACATAACATGACCGTAGCCTCAGTTTAGTATTTTTAGCTTCCAGGGAGAATTCAGACTTGATTTGATCTTGAGCCCACTTATTTGTCTTTTTGGTGGTCCATGGCATCTGTAAAACTTGCCTCCAAAACCTTATTTCAGAGGAATCTACTTTCTTCATTGTCCATCCATACACAGGAATAGGGAATGGTATGTTGTGAATTACCTTGATCTTGGTTGCCAGCAACACATCCTGACATTAAAGAATATTTTCTCACTCCTTCATGGTTGCCCTTTCCGGTCTCATTTTCTGTGCTCAGTTCAATTCTGTAGGTTTACATGGCAATTAAAGCTGTGGTTTTATTCCAGTTAAGTTACTTATGACATTACAACTTCTAGTAAAGATGGCATCCTACCTACCCTGTTGAGTGTTTTTAGTGGCAAGTAATAACAGTAAAATCGTTTAAAATACACTCATTTATTTTGGTAGCAATGGAGAATGGCAAAGGTTAATCTGAAAGGGTCCATTCACTCTTAGTTGTGATTACACAGAAGCATCAATTTCACCAGGTGTGGCTTTTCCCAATATAGCTCTGAATGGGGCTTTGACCTTAGTTACAACTCACAAATAACTGTCTGTGTTAATGGTATTAACAATAATAGTTCATTTATTTAAATGGAAAATTAAATGGATATCTTTAAAAAAAGAAAGAAAGAAAATTAAATGGATGACGCGAACACGCAAGGTCCTTTCAAGTCTGCAGTTGCAAATTATTTTTTTTTAATGTAGTGTGATGTGGTACTGTACTGCAGCTACACCATGCTTGCATAGCCCAAAGGTGGAAACAGAGATCCCTCTCAACGTGCTTATCCTTCCCAGCTAACAAAAACTGGGACCATTATCAATCCTGGAGAGCATGAGCAGGTAGCTTTTTTGAAACATAGCTATTCTTTGTTCAGCTCTTGTTTAAAACTGGTCCCCATTTGTAATGTCTCCCCTGTCTTTCTGTTGTCTATAAATGCATTAGCTAAATGAACGCAAACTTAATGTATCTGTAGCAGATTGGAACAGCCCTTAACAATGGCGTTGGTTTGCAGTCTGCTGCAGTAAATGATTCGAGGTCAGTGGTCCCCAACCTTTTCAAGTATGAGGAACCCTTTTGAACATCAAAAATTTTGGCACCCCTGCCCCCCACATCATTGTAGCTGTACAATTAGTATCAGTGGATTGAAAAGATACTATTTATTTATTTATTCAGATTTTTTATCCCGCCCTCCCAGCCGGGGCCTGCTCAGGGCAGCTTACATCAAGACAAATAATTGCATTAAAAACAAGTTGAGGTTAAAACAATTATAAAATCATAATAAAATGCTAGCAATGACAAAAAGATCGAAATGACAATGCTTAGTATGCATATGGATTTGCCAGTTCCCTTGCAAGATCTCTGTGGCTTCCCAGAAGTCCCAGCCCCCACATTGGGAACTGCTGTTCTAGGTATTATTCTGCCTGTACTGCTTTGTCTTGTATTTCTGCTTATTGCACTGCTTATTGTATAGCTTGCCTTATGCTGTTGTTTTTTTTTAATTCTGTACTATTGTGTTGTTTACGGGATTCTTATTCAGTAGGAGTATATTGTCTTTAATCTACAAGCTGCCTTTCTCAGTGAGAAAGATGGGCTGTAAATAAATAATTTCTAAAAGATCTGAGGAAGTGAGCTCGTATTCCAGAAAAAGCTTAGACTGGAGTAAATTCTCTCAATCTCTAAGGTGCCACTGGAGTCCTGTTTTGAAAGAGGCTCCGGGCATTCTCCTTCCACCCTTCTTGCTGAAAACCAAGAATGGTAAGTAAATGAGCAACAGTTTCTGGGCTTCTTACAAAGATCTTGGAATGCTTGATAGGCAACAGACTCTGTATGTTTGGCAGATAATTAAATTATAGTCAGTTATTAACACTGTTATTTGTAACTAGGGCTCTACCTATACTTGCTCCGCTCATCAGCCCCATACCTCACTGTGCTCTCGATATTTAACAGTAGGTTTGTTATTGAATGAGCAGTTCTGCCTCCTGCTAAAAGAATAGCACCGATCTTCAAGGAAGCAATAGCCACAGTAATCAGCCTTTTTTTTTGCAAACTGCTGCCAGAAGTGGATTTATAACAAATACCACACCTCGCCTGTCTCATCAATGGGAACCAAACTAGCTTACATTATTCTTATCGCCTACGTTTTATCCTCACAACAATCCTTGCGAAAACCTTTCCATGTCAAGCTTCTAAAAAAGAAATACATGCTTCCAGCTCTACCATTCTTTGCTTGTGAAACAGTTTATTGTTTCTTCAGTGCCACCCAGGGGTCATTTCGTAGAAAAAGAGCTAGGGGAACTCATTAGCATAACTCATTAGCATATGCCACACCCCCTGACATCAGGGGCCCGGCGGTGGACCTGCAAGGCCAGCGGGAGTGCGAAGAAGCCCCGCCAAGGCCCTCCCTGGCCCCAGGCAGGCAGGGGTGGGGAGAGGCAGGGAGGAAGCAACTTACCCTCCCTCTTCTCCTGCCTCCTGGCTGAATGAGGGCTGGAAGCGGGGCAGCCGGAAGCAGGGGGCGGGGCTTTGTCATGTGCCCCGCCCCCCTGCACCTCACCCGGGCCGCGTTCCCCCCGAAATGACCTCTGGTGCCACCTATATTGAGCACTTCATTGAATCAATTAATTGCCAGATGTGAATGGTCAGTTGAAATTCTTTCAGTACCTGACAGTCTGAAAGTGTTTATAATAGCAAAAAAGAAAGACAGGAAATGGAGTGCACTGGGTAAGGACAAGATTCTTGTGGAGCTGGGGAGAGGGAAGACTTGCAGCTGGGAAGCCTGAATAAGAGGTGCTGGGCATGAGCTGGGGATGCAGTATTTTGATGGGGGGGTGCCCTTGCATGAGTGTTTGCATGAGGGAGGGAATTGAGTTTTGTTTGCATGGAAACTTATTTGCCAGAATGTTCTGCTAGTTTGGTGTAGTGATTAAGTGCGCAGACTCTAATCGGGGAAAACTGGGTTTGATTCCACACTCCTCCACTTGCACCTGCTGGGTGACCTTGGACAAGCCACCATTCTGGCACAGCTGTTCTAGAAAAATTGCAGTTTCTGTCACTCAGCCCCACCTACCTCACAGGGTGTCTGTTGTAGGGATGGGAAGGGAAAGGAGTTTGTAAGCCTCTCTGAGACTCCTTTGGGTAGTGAAGGGCAGGGTATAAATCCAATGTCCTCCTCCTCCTCCTCCTCCTTCCCATTTGAATATCCTCCTAGAGGGTTTGAAAAAGTGTGCGTGCGCATGAAAGCTCATACCTTTAATAAACCTTTGTTGGTCATAGAGGTGCCACTGAACTCTAAATTTGTTCTGCTAGAAGATTGTTAGACCAAGAAGAACAATGGCAGAGCTCTGTATTTGCTTTCCTCTGCACTCTGTGGCTTAGTTGTTTGCATGTTCTTTTCAGGTGCCGGCCTTAAGGGCCCTTCTGTAGGTATGAATGGCAAAGATTGGCCGGCAAAGGATGGAAGATGCTGGGTTTGGACAGTGAAGCTGGGCTCCGGTCCTTTCTGATGCCGCAACGGTGTGTTCATTCCAGCCAGCAGGGGTCAGCAGCAGTCCCCGGCTTCAGCCCTAAGGAAGGAACCCTGACAAAACAGTCCTGATGTCACTCAGCGAGAGGAGGACCCAGATGACCTGCAAAGTTGTCCCAACAGAATGGCATCTTGGGGACAAGCCTAGGCTGCTGGGCTCAGTCCAGCGGGCCGTAGGATTGAGGTGCGAGAGCAGATTCCCAGCATTGGTGACAAGAGATTACACAAACACTTTGACTGTTACACAACAGTCCTTTGGCTGCTCTCCTGTCCTGCCAGCCAGGGAGGCAAAACATCAACCCTGGAAAGTCAGAAGTCCTTTCTTCCTTCTTAGTAAAAGATCAGATATTTTTATTTCTGGGCAGATCACTTGGCGGAGGTTCAGTAGCCCTTAGCTCACCAAAGCCACCCTTGCATTCATAACCGCCAGGATGAAGAAAGGGACTTGTGTACAGTTTTGTTGTTGTTGTTGTTGTTGTTGTTGCAAAGATCAGATTTTTTTCTTTTAACCAGTGTTGACGTGCTAAGTGATGGTTTTAGTCTTGTCGGTCAAGAGAGGGTGGCGATTTCCCTAGGTATTTGTAACCAGAATAATAAAAAGGCGTGTCCACTCTTTTCTCCTTGCAATGACAAGAAGAAACTGTAGCGACAGTGACAAAGGATGGCAAATCTTTATCATTTCGTTCTGCAAATTCTAATCTAGGCATGCCCTGGGGGGGTGGCAGAATGCATAAAGATGTTGCTCTCCAACTTTTTCATCTTAGGTCATG